CCCATCTTGGGATATTATTTTATTAACAAAAAATTATTTATAGAAAAATAAATTCATTTGTGGATTTTTTAACAAAATTGGGTGTTAATAGATCTAAAATGTTGTATGCTTTGTGATGCTGTACTAGTTTATGTTGTTTCATCTAATTTTATGAAATCGCAAATTTTTTAAAATGATTTTGCTTTTAAAAAAAGCAAATCGAAGTGTGGAAATTACTTTATTTTTCTTTTTTCTTTGTTTTATTTAGTATTTTACTCATTCACTTGTTTCTCAAGAACAAAACAGTGCCAATAAAAAATATTTTATCTTTAATGACGAGTACAGTTTTTTTTTTTTGAAAGATAAAAAAATTGTATTCCACAAAAAAGGGTAATTTATAATTAACTATTTTGAGACAAGAAAGATAAGCAAAATTTTTAAATTGTAGTTAAATAATTTCTTTCTTTAAAACTAAAAAGTGCAATTTTATAAAAATGACAACATATGCTCACGTGTTTCCATCATTGTGAAAAATAATTATTTTATAACTAAATAAAAGAAAAAGTAATTGCTACATTACATTGTTTTATTTAGAGGGCAACTTTTTGGTAAAATGCTACCGTACTAAAGGCATATTAATATTCTTTTTCTATGTACAATATTCTAATAACATACATTCTTCTCATCATATCTAATTTCTTAATAATAAAAAGTAAAAATAGTGGAGTTCTATTGTGACTTAATGATTTTTTATGAACGGGTAAGATCAACAGTCCTACCAGCATTAAGTACTAATTTAATTTGAGGATTCATGGGAATAGATGATGGTATACAATCACTAAGATCAAAAATTTTAAGTACTTTTTCAATGTAGTGCGATTGTGACAAAGTTATGCTATTTTCATCTCGGAATATTTTATTTCCTAAGATGAAATTTGCTGCACCCATATTTTTTATTGTAAAGTTATTTAACAAAAACTTCTTTGTTTCCTCAACTTGTTCTGAATTTGTGCAAAAAAAGAAAATGTCATCCACATATAAGCAAATTATAACACCTTTGCCATTTTGAAAATTGCTATATATGCATTTTCTATATTCATTTATGTTCTGGCCATTGGTTAAAACAACTTCATTAAATTTTTAATGCCATTGATTTGGTGCTTGTTTAAGCCCATATAATGACTTGATAAGCTTACAAAACTTATGCTCTTGTCCTAGAACAATAAACCTTTCCGATTGTTTCCTATAGACTTCTTTTTCTAATTCACCATTTAAGAATACTGTCTTAAAATCTTTTTGGTTTATTACCAACTTATAAATTGATACAAGGGAGATTAGAAGTCTCATTGTAGCAATTCTAGCTACTGGAGAATAAGTATTAAAGTGGTCAATCTCTTCCTTTTGCATAGAACCTTTAGCTATTAATCTTGCATTGAACTTGTCTATGGTTCCATCCACCCTTATTTTGTTTGAAAATCCATTTACAACTTATTGGTCTGGAACCTAGTGGAAGATCAACCAAAATCCAAGTATTGTTTTTCATTATTGAATCCATCTCATGATGGATTGTTTCCTTCCAAAATGTAGAATCTTGAAAGTTCATTGTCTCGTCATATGTAGTAGGGTCAATATTAGAACAATAAGGAATTTTATTGTAAATATTTTCTCTTGTTCTTTCTATAAGGAGCATATAAAAGTCTAGACCAAAATCTTTTATCTTTCTAGCTCTTTTATTTTTCCTTATTTTGGATTAGATTCAATATTATTTCCATTTTGCTGCAATGAATGTCATTTGATTGAACTGATAGTGGCTATAGTTTTCTTGAAATAGATTTGAACATATTTTCATCAAATATTGCATCTCTAGATTTAATAATAATGTTGATTGGAATTGAATCATTTGGTTCAATTACTATGAACTTATATGCTTTACCATGTTGTGCATATCCTAAGAATATGCATTTTATTCCTCTTTCACCCAATTTTTTCCTTTTGGGTTTTGAAACTTTAACTATAGCTCTATAACCCCAAACCTTCAAATATCTAAGGTTTAGTCTCCTTTTCTTCCATTGCTCATATGGGTTATCTTAGTTTCCATTTTAGGAACTCTATTTAATATGTGAAAAGTTGTTAATAAAGTTTCTCCCTAAAAACCTTTTCCAAGACCTCAATATGACAACAAAGCATTTACCATTTCGGCTAAGATCCTATTTTTCCTTTTTGCCATGCCATTATGTTGTGGTGTATAAGGTGCAGAAATATGATGGATTATCCCAATGGAGGAAAAATAACTTGGACTATAATATTCTCCACCTCTATCCGATCTTAAGCACTTGATAAAAGATTCACATTGTAATTCTACTTCTATTTTATAAGCCATAAATTTATCAAGTATTTCATTTTTAGAATGTACCAAACATACATAGCAATATCTAAAGAAATTATTAATGAATGTGATGAAATATTTCTTTTTGGCTAATGTAGGTATATTATGCATATCACACACATCATTATGTAATAGTTCAAGTAACTTGGTATATCTTTTAACTTTAGGAAAAAAATTTCTAATTATTTTTGTTAGCATGCATGTATTGCATTTATCAATATTTTGATTAAATTTTGGAATTAAGTCCATTTTATACATATCATCCAATCTTCTATAATTTAAATGTCTTAACCTATAATGCCATAAATAAGAGGATTTAATCATATAAGCAAAAACAATAGTCTTATTCTTATTATTATTAATAATATTTAGTTTGAACATTCCTTTACACATATAACATTTCCCAACAAATATTCTCCCCTTTAACAAAATGAATTTATCTGTCTCAAATACAAGTTTTAAACCAAACTTATTCAATAAACTTTCAGACACTAAATTTTTTCTAACTTCTAGAACATAGTAAACATCTTTCAAAGTTAAAGGTTTTTTAGAAGTGAACTCAAGTTCAATAGTCCCTTTGCCTTTAATATTTGCTGTAGAAGAATTTCCCTTGTATAGGAAACTTCCATGGTCATTTGGAGTAAAATTCTTGAATAGATTCTTGTCATTGCACACATGTTTTATTACTCCTGAATCAATCCACCAAGCATCATTTTCTTCAAGCATATTGATTTCAAAAATCATAGCTACAAAAGTTTTAGAAACAGCACTCTTTGAAGAAGTAATTTTCTTTTTCAATAATTGATATTTCTTTTTTAAATGTCCTAGTTTTCTGCAATGAAAGCATGTGCTTTTGTTCTTTCCTTTGAATTTCAAACCATTAGCAATCTGTTTGAACTTTTTTTTGGCAAGTTTAGTGGCTTGTTCTTCCTCTACAATGTGTATTTTAGCTTCACTAGAAATAGCAACTTGTTCTTGTTTCCTGTATTCTTCTTTAATTCGAAGCTGATTTGCTAAAGCCTCAAGAGTTATTTTTTCTTTTTTGTGTTTTAGGCTTATTTTAAAGTCTTTCCATGATGGAGGAAATTTGTCTATAATAGAAGATATAATACAGTTTTATCCATGTTCATTTTATATTATTTAAATTGATTAAGCATTCTTTTAATTTCTCACAATTGTCCTATAACAGAACATCTATTGACCATTTGATAATTATTAAAGCGACTAGTAAGAAATTTCGACTTGTTGCATCTTCTGTCATGTACCTGGCTTTCAGTTTATCTCCTAATTCTTTTGTAGTAACGTCATTCTGGTATGTGTTAAATAAGGCATAAGCCAGACCATTCAATATGTGACCTTTGCTTGAATAATCAGCATTGTCCCATTTCTGCCTTTCTCCGATTATAACAATAAACTCATTTTCATCCTCTTTTGGTCTAGGTGTAGTTAGGACATAGACAACCTTCAATGTTAACAATAGGAAATGCATTTCTTTTTGTCATCTTAGAAAGTTGCCACCATCAAACCAGTTTAACTTCACAAAGTCAAAAACCAATTATTTTAGTGTTTCGCTTATGGCAAGCATTGATGAAACGAGATAGAACCTTAAGAATGTTGGAACTCTAAACTGGAAAAACATTGAATGGCTTCAAGGCATGTATCAATGCCATTGTCCTTAAGATTTTATTTGCCTCTGTTAGTTGTGTGCAGTGATTGTGATAAACCTCAAGGATTTAATGAAGTCCAATGATTGATTACATTTTGCTCTATCGAAGTCAATTCACTGAGCATTCATTGATTTGAGGCAAGACTATTTGGACTTTTGTATGATATTTTGCAGTAAAATCAAATAGAAGCAAATCTAGAAGAAATTGAAAAGAAAGGAAAAAATGTTCTTTCTTGTTGTTTTGCATCTTTTTCCTTTTAAAGGAAGGTCCTATTTATAGGCAATGGAAATAATTTTCAACAAACACAATTTTGTTTGTTTCAAACAAAAACAAATTCTATTTGTTTTTAACAAACAAATATAATTAATTTCAAACAGATTTTTAAAACAAACATAACTATTGTGTTTGTTTCCAACCGTTACAATTATTTATTTGTTTTTAACAATTTCAGTTATAGTTATTTGTTGAACTTTTCTCTTTTTGAAAAAATAATTTTCCAATTGCTTGCACCTACAAGCGCTAAGTGTCATTATAAATAATTAAATATTAAATTTAATTATTCTCAAACCCACACAAACTCAAAAAGCCCATTCGCGATCCATTGCCTACTAAAATCCAACTACAATAGATTTATATTCCTCTCAATTTAAATGATTCTTTTTTGTTTTCTTTTATTCAATGCCCACATTCATTATTATTGAAAATATCCAACAAAAGGTCTTATAAGCTTTTGCAACCAATGATGAGAAAAATTGACCTAATTCCAATAGATCAAAACAAAAAAAAAAAAGGCATTTTAACCTCAACAAGCAGTTAAACCTCCTTTTAACTATAACTGGGTGCGAAAGAATCATCATACCTGTAGTTGGTGTGACAAGCTCCTATTTACAATGTCACGATTATATTAAAGGTCATGATAAAAATCTTGTTCCATGAATCCTGCTTTAACAACATGCCTAGCACAATCTGGCAACACCCATTTCATTCATCACATATGCCTTTTAAAAAAAATTGAAACAATTTCCTTTTCAAATAAGGAAAAAGCAATGTTGTTTTTAAATAGAGAAACATTGTTGTCTTTTATTTTTGGAAAACAAGACAAATTATGTGGTGCTTGGATTATCGATTAAATCTATTCGACATCCTTAAAAATTTAATTTTGATTTTCTTCAGATTGGCAACAACTTCTTTCATGTCAACCCTTTCCTCTGGTAACTCTGCTGAACATTTCAATGCTAATTGCAAAACGGACAATGCACAGACCTCTATTGCGTTGTCTTCTCTGTTTCTAGTACTCAGCAAGTTGGGATCTATGACTTGAATTATTGTAGCCGGTAACAATTTTTGCACCCAACTTTTCAAGCTCATTTCTCCTTCAAACAGGTTGTTTGTAGGCTTCTTTCTTGTAAAAGTCTCCATAAGGAGAATGCCAAAGCTGTACACATCACCATTTGTGGAGACAATTCCTTCCGATCCATACTCTGTATGTGAATTGCGAACTGACAATCATCAAAATTTCTAATATTGTGTAGCAGGGGTAAAAATTGCTTAATATGTAACGGTAAATGTTATATATGTGCATGTTCATGTATGCATATGAGTAGAAACATAAATTATATTGCATTATATAAAAATGTCACCTGGTGCCATATATCCAATAGTTGCCAGCGTCATGGTTTGTATCATTGAATGGTCTTCAGCTAATAGTTTTGCAATACCAAAATCACCCAAATGTGCAACCATATCTTCATCTAGCAAGACATTGCTTGGCTTTAAGTCACAGTGGACCACTGGTGTTGTATAACCATGATGGAGATACTCTAAAGCAGACGCAACATCTATCATTATGCTCAACCTTTGTAAGACATTAAGAAAATGGTTGTGAGAATACAGCCACTTTTCAAGGCTTCCATTGGGTATGAATTCAAGTACCAAGGCTTTAAAATCAATATTGCAACAACTACTAATGATTTTCACCAAATTTCGATGGCGAATGTTGCAAAGCACCTCGCACTCAACATCAAAGCTTTCAAAGGCTCCTTCTAGATCTAAATTGAAGACCTTTACAGCAACGTTCGTTCCATCAGAAAGAGTCCCTTGATACACTGAGCCAAAACTCCCTATACCTAGCAACTTGCTTTCACAAAATCCATCCGTAGCTTGAGCAAGCTCTTGGTGTGAAATTCTTCTCCATGCTGCTAAAGGCTGCAAATTTTCCTCATCAGTTGGCAATTTTGCATTTCTTTTTCTACTTCTTGAAAAAATGACAATCAAGGATACTATTGATATTGTTGCGGCAATTGCTGGTAGAATATATTTCATAAGCTTAATAGCGGTCTTTGATCGTCGAGGAAGATTGCTTTTGCAAGGCATAACTCGCAATCGAGGTGCACCACACAACCCTTCATTCCCCAAAAATGATTGAAATGAATAATTTGTGAACTGTCCTTTATTAGGAATCTCTCCTTGTAATCTATTGAAAGAGACATTGAAGTATTTGAGGTAGGAGAGTTTCTCTAAGGACATTGGAATCATTCCAGCGAGATTATTTCTTGACAAATCCAAGAAGTCCAAGCTTACCATATGTCCTAAGGACTCGGGAATAGAACCATTCAATTTATTATCGGATAAAGAGAGATATGTTAGGTCTTTTAGATCCCCAAAGCTAGTTGGGATATCACCTGATAACCTGTTCTGTGACAAATTTATTCTAGTCACAGCCTTCCACTTCCCAATGTCAATTGGGAGAGAGCCGTTTAGAGAATTTGAAAACAGGCTTAGCTGCAAGATATCTAGAAGCCTTGTCAAGGTTGAGGGTATTGAACCAGTAAATCTATTGGAGCCCAAAAATAGATATCTTAGAGAAACCAGATCACCCAAGCATGCTGGAATCGGTCCAGACAACTTGTTACCAGAGAGAGAGAACCAGTACAAACTCTCTAGTTGACAGAAGTCAAATGGGATGGATCCCTGTAACTTATTGTATTGAAGTTGAATACTTTGCAGCTTTACCAATCTTCCAATGGTTGTGGGAACCTTTCCAGTCAACTTATTGTTTTCTAGGCGTAAGCTTATCAAGTTGCTCAAGTTGCCAATTTCCCCTGGAATGCTACCCTCAATGTTGCAATCAGAAGCAGAGAAGTCTTGAAGAGAAACAGAGAGATTTCCTATTGAAGCCAGGAATTTACCATTAATCAATGGGTTTCCATCGAATTTCAATGTATTTAATTCTCCGCAATTAGTCAAAGATGAGAGAAAGCTCGATCCAGTGGCAGTTAAATTATTGTACTGTAGATTGAGCCACTGTAAATATCTTAAATTGCCAAGCCTGTCTGGGATATATCCTGAAAATGAATTACTTGACAAGTCAATATTTGTGAGTTGAGAGGCATTGCAGATGGAGATTGGGATTGGTCCACTGAGTTCATTTCCATCAAGATATATTTGTTCAAGTTTGGGAAGCCAGAATTCAGAGCTTAAAGGAAGATGGCCCGAGAGACGATTTACCCCCAGAGAAATGACCCTCAAAGTTGAGCTATTAAATAATGATGGAGGGATGAAACCAGTGAAATTGTTGGGTCCCATAACAAAGAATTGTAGATGCTGCAGGTTTCCAATCTCATTGGGTAGTCTACCTGCAATCAAGTTACAAATTGTCACCTAAGATTTCATGATTTTGTTGTGATAAGAGGGTCCATCATCAATTTTACCTTGCAAAGTTCTGACAATATCTTTAAGTGACAACCAAAAATACCTATCAAAATGATATTATCTTTTGTAAATTTAGGTGACATTAATGCCTTAACCTTCTATGGTAAATTGATAATGGAAACGTGCTGGTGAGTAGCATACAAAATTACTTCTATGAGTCACATATTCTATTAACAAAGATTAACCTAAGGCAAAAGATATTGTAACGAGGAATGGCAACAAAAAAGTGTATATTATATTACCGCAACATCTAAAGTTGGTGAATCGATTACCAAGAGTACCTGTAAACTTGTTAAATGAACAATCAAGCCATGTAAGAAGAGTTAGGTTCCCAAGCTGCCGGGGAATTTCACCTACAAAATACAGCATTGAAGATATAATGAAGTTTTAGGATTCAGAAGGAAACTACCTAAAACAACTCTGCCTTCCATAGCAAAATGCTAATGCCTTCAAACTTTTTTTACTTCTTGATTGTTCTAGTGGACAACAAAAGTAAATATTAAATATATGTAAAAATCTATAATTAATTGATTTAGCTGAATTTCTTATAATTAGACTAGTGGAGTATTATTAAATTGAATGCATCAAAAATTATGAAGAAACAGAGAAATTTCCAATTGATGGAGTCTTCCATTTGAGATACACAGTGTTAATTAGCTTACCTTCCAAGTTGTTCATCCCGAGATACAAAGAGTCAAGCATAGTCAAATTCCCAATTTCTGCAGGTATGCTACCCTCCAAACGATTGTAAGACAAGGATAAATATATCAATTCTTTGCACTTGAATAAACTGGCTGGAATTGTTGCAGAGAGCAGATTCGTATCTAGATATAATGTTATCAATCTGGGATGATTCCCGATTGCTCTAGGAATCTCTCCAGAGAGTTGGTTATTGCTGAGATCAATTTCTTCCAATGACGATATGTTAAAAATTGAGGAGGGTATGGCACCTGAAAGCTGATTATGATCCAAGTATAAATCTTTCAATCTAGCAAAATTGCCGATTTCTGCAGGGATTTGGCCAGTCAGATTGTTTGAGTACAAGCCCAACACCTCTAATCTAGACAAACTGCAAAGAGAGGATGGTATAACACCCCCAAAGTTGTTACCGTAGAGAAACAATCTCTCAAGTCGAGTGAAAGAACCAAACCAAGATGGGATTTCCCCACTGAAACTGTTGTTAACAAAGTTTATAAACTTCAGTCGACGCAACTTAGACAACTCAACGGGTAATGAGCCATGAAAGTTGTTGTCTCCAACAGCAATCCAAGCGAGGAAAGACAGATTTCCCAAGTGAGGTGGGATGGTACCGGTTAGACCCAGGCTAGAAATGTCCAGAGCAGTGACTCTGAGGTTCCTGGATCCACAACTGACACCAACCCAGTTGCAAACAGAGGTAGCAGTCGACCAATTGGTTGCCAAGATGTTTTGAGGGTCCCGAGTGATGTGGGCTTTTAGTGCAAGAAGAGCCAATCGGTCTGTGGTAATGTTGGGTGGCTCCATAGACAAGGCAGCCATAAAATTACACAACAGCAGCACCGCAAGAAGGGAGACGAGGAAGCAAGTGTTTCCCATTAGCTTTCTCTGGGCAGGAATAGCAAATGGAAAATATGGAGCAATAACGGAACTAATGAGAATTTGGAGTAGTCACTTTTTGTACTGTTTCTTGTTGATTAACTAAATAGACAATTACTTCCTTCCTTGACTGCTTTGCTTCTTTTTGTCCTAACAAATCAAACCCAGAATTACTCTTCCAAATCTATGTTCCCAAACATAGCATAATAGTATTTTGCTAATGGGTGTGTCTTAAGGGATTAATATAAATTTTGGTAACGATAATATTTCTCCAGTAAATATAGTGATTAGCTGTTAATATATATGATCATTTCCAATGCAATAGATAAAGAAATTACCTTATATAGTGAATTTAGAGCATACCGTTAAGATATTCGTTAAGAAAATTCATAAGAATTAGTATGTAACAGAATCATTAATCTAATTGCAATTTGTTAGTAGAACAATTTGTCAATCGTTTTTTTTATATATGTAAAATTATTTTAATTTTAAAATAAATCCTTACTAAACAGATTTTAAAATAAAACTGAGGTTACAAGATGGTAAGAATTTGATAGAGATTTAGATTTAAATCTCATTAATGACTTACCTCTAAGAAAATCTTTAATGATTTTATTATTTAACTATCTAATAAATAATTTTAAAAACATAATTAATTATTATTTATATATCTTTTCACTTTTAAAGCTTATATATATATATATATATATATATATAAAAAGCATTAACTTTGTAAAAGTTTTATAAATTCATCATCATAATTTCATCTGAACTCTTGAAAAGTCTTATTTGTTTATTGGTATTTTTTATTGTGCAACCTGCCAAATCGTTGTTGCCCTTGACTAAGAAAGTGCAGTTGACTAAGACCGATGACTCCCTGTTATGCGTGTTATAAACACTATAAGGAGGGAAATTTCTACCCAAAATTCCTGCTTT